ACATGTACATGAATGTTTACATAAGGGATTACATAATATCACATGATATTATTTTTGTTTCTTGTAAAAGAGATTATTGAGAAAATTCCTTTATATTAACTTCTAAAAAAAATTTAATCAGACAAAGTATTTTTAAAAAGTTATTTAAACATATTCAAAAATAACTTATTGATTTTGGAAGCAACATTTGACTTTTCAATAACCTTGTGACAAAAGACCCATGTTCCATGTAATTATATAATGTGTGTCTTATATTATCCAGTATTTTCTATTAGATAAGAAAATATTTGATAAATAATGCTAATTTTTTACTAAAGTAATAGAACGAGCTAACGAGATCAGGAAAGTATATACGTACTGTTCATCTCGAAAAATGGCTCCGACACGTGGCCAATGGAAGGTCTTCTAGTCAACTCCTCCCTGCACACGTGGAACGCCGTCAGTCGCTCGGGGCCTTTCCCGGAGGGGTTGGGAGCGACCGCAGCATTCCGACAGTGAAGTCAGTCTGAAATTCAATAAAAAGGGGTTCACCGGCGATAGAGCACTCGTCGGGAAGTGATTGAACATGCAATAAAAATTCCAACAATATGGGAGAGAAGATAACTCAAGTGTTTGGTGTAGTAGTGTATTGAATTCCAAAAAATCCATGCCCTCTTAAGGCATAAGGAGGGAGCATTTATACCAAGGATGGGAAGATGATGGTTGTTGGATGAGGAGACACGTGTTGCTAGATCTCCAGAACTCCTCCCATCCTAGGTGTCAATCTGTCCATCCATAGGCTGGCTGGTATTGAGTATTTCTGACAAGAGCGGCTGATTTGACCGTTTGAGATCTTTGTACAATAGAGCTTTGATGAGGAGGGGCGAGGCAGGTGAGGCATTGTAGCGTTCTAGACGCAAAGTGCTGGCCTTTGCATCCGTGATGTGTTGGCGGATGAGTCCGGTTCGTTTGCTGGAGCCTGTTCAATTCGTTCCTTACGTAATCACTTCAGTATATACAACCAGCTCGTCCCATGAGGTAATAACCTCGGCACCAAGTGTCGGGCGTGTGGGCCATCTTTACTGACACATGGTGTCGAGGTGGAGGGTCTAACACAGCCCCGTAACAATAGTCCTACAAGTCCATGTATGAATATTTATATAGTACGAGGACTTTTAACTTCAATTGCTGAGTTGGGAAGCATTGGGACGAGCATTTGAGCGTCGAGCGGTGAACATTTGTATCTGTCAGATGCCGATGCAAGGTATCCTGTGGAGCATCCTAAGCGATGGAGGTTGGAAACATGAGAAGAGCTGCCGCAACACGAGTCTGTATTGGTCGAAGCGATACAGGTTGGCAACTCTGTGGAGAGCTATTGCAACGCTGAGCTGTACTGGCCTAGGCGGTATAGGTTAGCAACTCTGTGGAGAGCTGTTGCAACGCAAAACTATACTGGCCGAAGCGATATGGGTTGGCAGCTTTGTGGAGAGCTGTTGCAACTCTAAGCAGATGCGATTGAAGGCTCTAAAGGGACATCATTGGGCTCTGTGTCAATGATTTGAAGGTTTTCGCATCTTCCCAAGGCAATCATAAAGGGGCGTTCGCTTGCTTCCAAGGCACGCTTCTCTTGCCATAAAGGGTAATGATGGCGACGGTTCTCGTTCCTCAAAGTGACGTGTCTGTGTTTTAGAATTTTTATCAAGAACTTTTCGAAATTAACATCATATCGTCGACTCCATAATTCTAAAAAATTGATCCTGTGTTTTAGAAATATAGAACATATTTTTTTCAACGAATTTGTGATGAAAATTTTCCCATCTCAAATTTGTAGCCATTTCTTTATTTTAATATAGTTATAGGGGATCAGCTTTGATGGGCTCCTTCGGCCCATGTGGAGCAGTCAAGTAGTAATCCAATAGAACTAATTGTGGACCAAAAAATGATTTAGCCCATGTTCGGCCTTTATTTTTCCAAAAATAGATTTTTTTTCAAAATTCTTTTTCAACCATACATTCTTTCATAAAACAATATTACACGTATATTCAAAAAAAAATTCTTCTTTTTTAATCACACATTTTTCTCCAAAATCTCAT